CCGTCCACTCGGCGGGGTCGCAGCTGCCTCTGCGCGTCCTCGGGAGGGACATTTGTTGCGCGCCGGAGACGAGACTCGACGCCGCTGAGATCGGAGATCAAGCTCTGATCAGCTCTGACAGGTCGCACGTCGCTCCTTTGACGCCGACGTGAGAGACTCACCCGTGCAGATCACATCAGGACACGGTTTCGACGCGCTCGGTACGACGCCTGCGACCCGTCTCGGGTCAGGTGGCACGACGCTGCCTCATCGCGCCTACCAGCGCTGCCATACAGGTTGCCACGACGAGGTCGAGCACGCTTCTATACGCTCGCCGAGCCTTCCTTTCCATCCCATTAGGCAGCCTGGGAACGGTGGCGGTCAGAGGCAAAGCCTAAGAGGGGTGGTGGAACCACATGTCACGGCTACTGCCGGCTCGACGCCACGATAGCCTCCGAAGGCTGACTTTGCGGCACCATCATCGGACGATGTCGACGAGTTGGGTCGCTCTCGCGGTAGCCAGATGACCTCCCATGCTAGTACCATCGGCTAGGGCCGCAGGGAGCGCGGGGGAGGGCGCTGGAAGCAACACGGAGCTCCGTTGGAGACGTTTTCAAGATGAGCGTGTCAGAGTGAAATGGCACTAGCCACTCCACCCGCCATACCGTTTTTCTGGCGGGTCTTATCTGACACGGAATCTCTGCGGGGAGGCGAGGGCCCTAGGGGGTACCCATGCGGGGGGGAGATGGGGTCCCCCAGCCCGCCGCAGGCGCCGATTTTTTTGGCATTTTTTTCTCTGGCGAGGGGGCGCTGGCGGAGGCGTGCCTGTGTTTGGGGCTAACACGCCCGATGGGGTGTAGCGCGGTCGTTTGCGGTGGCAACGGAGTGTGGCGCCACAGCGACGGTGTCGGTGGACTCCCCGGCGGTGCCGGCGGCGGGGCGCCCCCCGCCCGCCGCCCCCGCGCCCCCGGCACATCGCACAAAGCTCTCATAAAGGGCCGGGCCAATCGCGAATCGGCCAGACCGGTCGGGATCGGATGAGGAACCCAAAGCGAAAATAGTCGTTAGCCCTGTAAGCGCCGGTCTCACAATTCCGCTTTCGGCTCATCAGCGGCATTCGCGAGATTGGCCGCGTACTCCTGCGACGCCGGCATGAGTCGCAGCGCCTCCTCGAACGCGGCCCTCGCCTCCGCTCTTCGACCGGGGATCGCCATGCGCACCAGGCCGAGCGCGTTCCAGCCTTTGGGCGCCGCCGGCCGCAGCTCGGCGGCGGCGCGAAAGTGGCGCTCCGCCCCCTCAAAGTCGCCGAGCGCGTGCAGCGCGCTGCCCAAGTTGTGCGACGCGGCGTGGTAGCCCTGCGGCCGCAACGCCAGCGCCGCCTCGAATGCGCCCACCGCCTCGGTGTGCTTGCCGTGCTTGAGCAGGGCGTCGCCAAAGTGCAGCTGGCCGGCCGCATAGTCGGGCCGTGCCTGCAGCGCCGCGCGGAAGCTCTGGAGGGAGGGCGGCAGAAACCACAGGTTCATGGCCGCGTTGAGAGCCGGCAGTCGCTCCGAGGACGCCCCGGGGTCAGCGGCGCTGCGTTGGCTACCATGCTCGTCGCTGCTGCCACCCTCAACGTGCGATTGCACCGCGTGCGACCACCGCGCGGGCAAGAAGAGCGCCTCTCCCGCACGCAGCCGGGCGATGAGTGCGTGCTCGCGGAGCGCGGAGCGCAGCGCCGCATCCGGCGCCGCCGCCGCAGCCTCGTCGTCGTCGTCGTTGTCGTCTGAGGCGAAGACGTCGACCGTGGCGTGGTTCTCAATCGGCGCGTCTCCCGTGGCGTACGTGCCTGAGAAGACGCCGTCGTCAAAGGCGTAGCGCCGCTCAGCATGACGACGCGGCGGAGGACATGGAGTCCGTGGCCACAGAGCGCGTCGTTTGGGTTGTTTGTGCGCTTTGTTTTTCTTTCTTTTTACGTGCGCGCGACGTGAGCGGATCGATGAGCACCACACGGCTCGCCGCGCTCGTGCTGCTGGCGCACGTCGCCTTAGGGTACCCCTAGGGTTCTGAGGGCCGGATTGTTTTAAGGCCTTTTGAGAAATGAGGAGGTTTTGGGGCTCAAATTGTCATTTAAGAGATTGCAGGCACGGGGGGTCCCTCTTTTAATTAAGTCCGTTTAAGAAAATCGGCCTCACCGGCACGCGTCGCTGGGTTCCGCGCCGGTTTCTCCAATACTGCCGTTATTAGGCACAAACCCGCCACTGAAGACACATCTGTAAGTCTGGTGCACTGGCAGGAGCCATACTCGCATAGGGGACGCGTGCCAGCTGACTGTAGCCTCCTTAAGCGTTTAAGACCGTTTAAGGAATCGGCGGCCCAGCAGCTCTTAAAACCTGCCATGGCAGGTTTTAAGCCGTTTAAGCCGCAGGCGCCCCAGAGCCCACCCTTTTAAGCCTAGGGGTACCCTAAGCACGTCGCCGCTGCGAGCCGGCACCACGAGCAGCAGCCTCGCGTCTGGCAGCCGCGCCTCTCAGTTCTTTCTCATATCTGCTGCCGCCGCGACGCAAATTGTGGGCGTCACCACGACGAGCTGTCGCGCGAGTGGGCTCCGCTGGCTGGCTGACGCGTGGACGTCTACGAGCCAGCGCCGCAGGGCACTATGCTGTGTTATGGACGCCAACGACGAGCCCAGCGCCAACCACTCGCACAAAGAACCATGGACAAAGACCGCATGGGCGGGGACTTGCTCCTTTTTAATAATCGAGTCGAGTCGAACTCGGGACCCCCTCGCACACGAAGCGGGCATCATACCACTATGCTGCGTGTTCGAATCATTTTCTGCCAACACGTAGTTCTCTGTATATACTTTCTGCACCCCATTTAAATAACTATACTTTGCAACAAAAGAGGGGGGGGGGGGGGGCAAGCCCTACCGCAGGCCCTCTATTTTGCGCAGCAACACCTTACTCTTAGCGGAGCGGGGATATGTGGGGTGAAGGGACGAGGTACGAGTTCCTTCCGGGGCCCCACGTCTCCCCGTTCCGCGGCCGGCCCTCCGCAGGAGCCCCCGGAGGGAAAAACGCCTCCCCGGCGCAGAGGGGCCGCCGGAGGCACAGCGGTCCTCTCCTACCTTTGCTAGAGCGGGAGGCTATTTTTTGTAAGAATCACACGACATGAAAGAAATTGGATGAATTTCAGGAATCTGAAATTGTTTTTCACAGATCACTCGGCGAGCACAGATTACTCGGAAGCGAACAAATTTTAGGATTGTAGATTAATCGGATCGAACAAATTTTCCTCGCAGATTACTCGGCTCGTTTTCCTTCCCCATTTCAGTCCCGTGCCCAGTGTGTGTGTGTCGTGAGAGGTTTCTTCTAAAAGTCTTTGATGTACTGGCCTTTCGTTAAAAAAATCTCAGCTGATCCGCCCGCCGATCTTGGTACTTGAAGACACATCACACGAAACCCTCCCTCGAACGAGCAGCACACACAGAGCGTTATCTACGCGTCGGCCGCCTCCCGCTCCACCCGCCGCGACGGGCGGATGCGCAAGCCGTCTCCCGCAACCACACGACATCCGCGAGCATCACGAGCTGGACGAGCATCAAAGAGAAGGTTCTCGACCTCAACGACCCGACCGCCTTCCCTGCGTTTGGCAAGAGCGGCGGCGTGGAGAGGTCGGCGGGAATGAGCGGGCCCGAGTAAACTGCGACGGAAAAAATGTAAATTCCCGAATCTGTTTTCGTTCAGTTTACTCGGGCTGGCCCCGAGTAAACTGCGACGGAGAAAATGTCGAAATCTGGTCCCGCGTAATCTGTTTTTTCAGTTTACTCGGAGATCCGAGTGATGTGAAAAACAATTTCAGATTCCGAGTAAACTGAGATTTTTCCAAAGAAATTATCAGAAATTTTTGCCAGGGTGCATCGTGCCTGTGGCTTGCAAGGGAACACACAGGCGTAATATCCCTTGTCAGACCGCGCCCTGGGGTGCTGGGAAGGCGAATGCGATGACGGCGCCTCTTCATACTTGCGCTTGTGCGCAGGCTGGCGCCGAGCTGCTCGAGAAGGAGCAGCTGCGGTCGGCATTCGCTCCCGCGTCGGCGTCCTTCTCTCCGGGCTCGTCTGCCGCAGCCCTCAAGGCGAAGCCGCTGGCTCCTCGTCACGTGGAGAAGGAGATCTGAGTCACGTGGAGAAGGAGATCTCACTGCTCCTCCTCCTACTGCAGGCGAAGCTGCTCGGCGGAGACCTCTTTCTCGTCACGGGCGGGCCAGCGAAGACCATCAAGTTCTACTTTGGCCTCGCGCTCGGTGGCTAGACACTTCCTAGACACTTCCTAGACACTTACTAGACACTTCATAGACTCCATCAAGTTTTACTTTGGCCTCGCGCTCGGTGGCTAGACACTTCCTAGACACTTCCTAGACACTTCCTAGACACTTCATAGACTCCATCAAGTTTTACTTTGGCCTCGCGCTCGGTGGCTAGACACTTCCTAGACACTTCCTAGACACTTCCTACACTCCATCAAGTTCTACTTTGGCCTCGCGCTCGGTGGCTAGACACTTCCTAGACACTTCCTAGACACTTCATAGACACTTCATAGACTCCATCAAGTTTTACTTTGGCCTCGCGCTCGGTGGCTAGACACGTCCTAGACACTTCCTAGACACTTCCTAGACTCCATCAAGCTCTACTTTGGCCTCGCGCTCGGCAACCAGCCGCGCCTCGACACGCGCCGCCGCTCGGTGGCTAGGGAGGCCTCCCTGAGAGCATCCGCCGTGCATGAACAGGCCTGCAGCCGCTGCCTCGCGAAGGGGTGCTACCTCCGCCCGTCAGCCGCCGACGAGGCGCCTGCTCTCTCGGCTCTCCATCTCGGCTCGCTATCTCGGCTCGCTATCTCGGCTCGCTATCTCGGCTCTCCATCTCGGATGCGCCTCGGTTGCGCCTCGGTTGCGCCTAGGCTCCCTCTCGGCCCTCTCCCGGCCAGCCCTTGGCTAACCTCTCCCCGCCCCGACTCGACGAGGCGCTGCGCCTGCCTCCGCTGCTGCCGCCCTGCTCTCTCCTCGCGTGGAGATGCGAGGGTCGCCCCCCCTTGCCCCACCACTTTGTGTGTGTGGAGACGTTTACCTTACCTTACCTTACCTCTCCTCGCGGGGCGGACGATCGTCCCGGCGGCTGCTCGACCGGGCGGGCGGGCAAGCTGCTGTGAAGAGCGTCTCATCTCAATCCTCTCGCCCGTGAGCAGGTCGGAGACGACGGGTGGGTGGCCAACTGTGCGCCGCTCCTCGCCGCCGCGGGCGCCGACGCACGCGGTCGCCGCCGCAGTCCCTACCCCAGCATTCATCGCCGGCGCTTCTTGTTCGCTGCAGGCGCCGACGTGCAGACAGAGCTTCTGCGCGTCCACCACTCGGCCAGCGGCGCCGCCGCCGCTCCGTGCGCCGCGGCGGACGCATCTTCGGCGAGGCGGCTCCGCCCTTCACACGTCTGGCTGCTGGACAGGTGCGTCGTGATTGCAGACACGCTCGAGGAGGCGGCGCCGCTGTTTGCGCGAGCGCGCGCGCGGCGGTTGCCGGTCGCCGATCTGCGCTGGCTCAAGACGATGCTGATGCGGCAGAGGTACCGCGACCCCCGGCCGGCGCCGGCATGAGTTTCGAGCGCTCATACGGACGACTGCCGCGGAAGATACCGTATAGAGGGGCGGAAGGACGGGTCTGTTTACTGTACGTCTACGTTTGTTACCGGCGCCTCTTTTTGTACTACAGTCGCTCTAATCTGCGTATAGCGACCTGAGGAACGGCGCTCGCATGCACCGCATGGCACAATATATCACACACACTCTGCGGAACGCCTCAGAAAGCTTGCACGCCAGGTTGACAGCTTGATGTGGCGCCGAAGGAGGCCAACCAGCATGCCTGTGATAGGCACTGCCGATGCGTAAGCAAATGCACTACAGTACATTCCGGCGAGAACAGTCAAGAGTTGCGCAAACGCCAACATAATGCCGGCGATGAATAGGACGACCGGTAGCTGCATGGTTGTCCGCTGCTCGTCGAGGAAGCCCAGCAGCAGCTCCGAGGTGGAGAGAAACTTGATGGAGTTGTCGAGCATCACGCACTCTATCACAGACGCCGTGAATGCGCACACGCCGAGCACGCCCAGAAAGCCGCCCAAGCGCCCGCTCCAGCTGTCCAAGTCCAGAGCGTCGACTGGTGTCACCAGCGCAGTGAACGAGAACGCACCCAGCAGTGCTGAAACGATAGCCATGTTGCCAAAGTATCCGCCCATCTGATCGACAGTTCTGTCAAGGCCAGATTCGACGAACACTTTGAACCAGCCAGCTTTGGAACCTTTGAAGCGGGCGGCCTGTGACGCACGCTCGTCACGCGAGGGAAAAGTGTTGGCCTCATCAGTCATTAGCAGCGAAGAATTAGTACGTGGTGACGCAATGAGGGGTGTTGCGCGCGGCAGGGCTGACGGCAGCGACGGGGCGGCAGTGAGCGAGGGAGACGCCACACGAACTGAAGCAAAATCAGGGAAGGGAGACGCTGAAGCGTGCCTCAATTGCGATCGATCGACTTCGCTTGGGCCGCCCTTGGGTCTTTCCTGCTTCAGCGCCGGCTCGTGCGACCTTGGGCTCGCTAACCTCTTTCGCGGCATGGGCGGTGTGAACTCGGTCGTCGAGAAAGAGAAGCTGGCGTGGGCAAAGGACCACGACCTGAACACCGACCACGACGAGCGCGAGAAACTGCTGCCGCTGCTCGACAACTTTCCCATCGGCTCCGAGATTCAGCTTTGCTGGCAGCTGAAGCAAGCCGGAGGTGGCTTCATCGAGTACGAGCACTTCTTCATCTCAAACAAAAAGTGGATCCTCGAGTTCGGAAGCGGCGATCCGATGAATAACACCGTCACCGTCCACGGCAATTCCCGCAAGAACTACTGCACCAAGGAGAACAAGGTGCTCGTGGACAAGGGCGTGCGCGACCGCATGGCACACGTCCTCGGCATGACCAACTACTCGCTCCTGCTGCGAAACTGCGAGCACGTCGTCAACTATGTCGCCTACGGCCGGTGGACGAGCATGCAGACTGTCGGGCAGGGGCACATCTCCTCTGCTCTGATCGACTACATGACTGACCAGAGCCACCGGTCCATTCGCAACACGCTTCCGAAGCAGCTGCAAGTCAACGACCGCGGCATCGCACAGCCACCGCTCTATCCCGGCGTGTCGCCGATCGTGGCGTACTCGCGGTCAGAGCAGTCTATCCAGATCGGCGACGATTCGGCGTACAACGTCCTCGTCATGGGCCCGACGGGCGCTGGCAAGTCGAGCATCATCAACCTTTTCTTCAACAAAAAGATCTGCGAGTCCGAGGACTCCGTGGACTCGGTCACGAGGAACATCGAGTTCCACGTCGGCCGTGGCGAGTGCGTAGTCAACGGAGTGCGCGGCGTCCACGACATCAACCTCATCGACAGCATCGGCTTCTGTGACTCGGAGCTCTCTAGCAAGGATGTTGTCGCGTTGCTCAAGCAGCAGGTTCTGGGAAACGTGGGACGCATCCATAAGGTGTTGGTGGTGACTTCGGGCCGCATTCGCAAGGAGGAGGAGGAGTCCATCAAGCAGATGCTGAAGTGGCTAGGGTATGATCCCTGGTGGGACAAGGAGACCAATTTCTCATTCATCTTCGTCTACACCAAGACCGACGGGCAGTCCGATGAGCAGAAGCAACGCAACCTGCTCAAGATGTGCGAGAGGCTGGACATACGGACAACCGCCCTCGTTAACACCGCCACCAACGAGCAAGAGATGAAGTTCATGGCAGTGGCCTTTCCTCCGACGGCGCCCTTTCGCGAAATCGAGAACGACTACAAGTGGCTGCAGAAGGTGATCTTCACCACGGACGCTGTCACACAGCCCATTCCGGTGCAACGGTCGATGTGCGCAATCATGTGAAGGCACCCCGCACGCTGCGACCCTGCTTACGGCCCGCCGAAGCGTTTGGGGTCTTTAGAGCATGCGCGGGCTGTCGGACGCTCCCTTGGGGGGTGGGGGGGGGGGAGCGTCCGGACTGTCTGCCGCGACCCTGCTGAGGGCCCGCCATAACTTTCTGCTCGGCGGGCTAAGTCGCGCATTATTGGGGCGGGGCAGGGACCGGGCGGGAGAACCGGGCGCGCCGCCGCCGCGCGCCGGGGTCTCGAGCGCGTCGAGGCCGGGGAGCGGGGTGTGGGGTCGGAGCGTCGTTCCGAATTGGCGGGACGATATTTGGCATGGACATGTTGTTTTGATGGGACTAACACTTGTTCTCGAGGCTCTAGCCTCCACCTCACACGAAGCCTACGAAAGGTGGAAAGGCAGATCGAGGCGGAGGGAGAAGGGCGGATGCCGAGAACGGAGAAGGCCCTCCCTCTACCGCAGCCGCTTGGACTCCCCGGGGTCAGCCGCCGAACAGGGTTTGCAGCTCGCCGTCGGTCAGCCTCGGGCCGCCTCGCCGCCGCCCCCCGCCCGCTCCCGGCCCGCCCTCGTCCTCGTCGCCGAGGGTGGCGGCCGCGATCTGGCGCTTCTTCTCCTGCAGCGCGAGGACCCGCTCCTCGACTGTGCCGGTGATCGAGAGGCGGACGACCCGGACAGGGCGGTGCTGGCCGATCCGGTGGGCGCGGTCGACTGCCTGCGGGGGGGAGAGGGCGGGGAGAAAGCGGGGAGAGAGTGGGGAGAGAGCGGGGGAGAGAGTGGGGAGAGAGCGGGGAGAGAGTGGGGAGAGAGCGGGGGAGAGAGCGGGGGAGAGAGTGGGGAGAGCGGGGCGGGCGAGAGAGGCTGGTCGATCCCTAACGAGACGCCGTAGTCGAGTTGCCGTAGAGGCGTGGTTGGTGTGTGTGCGGTGCGCCGATGCAGAGCGGGGGAGCGGCGCGCCTGCTCCTCTGCGAACGGGTTCCACCACGGCTCGCACAGCACCACCGTGGTCGCCTAGGCCAGGTTGGGGGAGATGTGAGGGAGATATGGGGGAGATATGGGGGGAGATATGGTCGCCTCGGTCAGGTTGAGCTAATTAACAGCTAATTAATAGTTAATCAATAGCTAATTAGCAGTTAATTCATGGTCGCCTCGGTCAGGTTGAGCTCGACACCGCACTTGAGCGACATGAGCAGCACCTGCAGAAGACAGGCACCCGCGAGGGGTCAGGGACGGCTCCAAGCCCCCGCCGCGCTCGAGCGACAATAGCAGGCACCGGCGGGCCACCCGGCGCACGAAACGAGTCGATCTGCCGCTCGCGCTCCGCCATCGACTGGCCGCAGAGCGACGGCGCCGACACGAGAGACTTATAAGGGTAGAGACAACGCGACTGTCTCTGTGCGATTTCGGGCCCGGGGTTGTGCGTTTATGTGAACAACGCACCTGGTGGCCCGCCCACAACAACCCCTGGCAATTGCGACTCGCCGCTTTCCTTCCGCTGTGATTTGTGTGAGCTCTGTGCCTTTATCTGCTAACAACGAAATAAAAACGCACCTGGATTCGGGACAGCTCTAGTCATCAACCCTCGTCCACGATGATTCAACGCGCGGTCCATCCGCGTGCGTCCATTCGGACCGCCGCCCGCTGATGAGGTCGGGACCGGAGGCGGAGGCGCAGGAGACGGCCGGCGCAAGTCGGCTGCCCCTCCTGCGCGGATTTCTTTTCGTTGCCCTCCTCCTCGCCTCGGCACTGGCCTTGGCCGCAGGCACCCCCATGCGCTCATATACGCTGCCAGTGTTAGCGCGGGGCGACTGTCGCCTAACATCTTCCCTCCTCAGGCGGCGCGACGCCTGGAGGCCTGTTGCTCGGCAGCTCTTCCCCTTTCGAGAAGCAGTCTCGTGCTGCGGAAACGGGGAAGGTGTCCGGCAATAGTCTCCAAATATAACAGTGGCGAGGCAAACGAGGAGAGCGTCACTACCCTCTCTACCCTCGCTCTTGCACACCCGGACCACAGGCAGCTGCTATGACCGCGGCGAACAAGGCGGCGCCCAGGAGCAGCCGAGAGGCATGTCGCGCCCCCGCCTCTCAGCCTGCGTGCCGCTATCCCTCTCGCTCATTCGTTCGTTCGTTCCGACCTTTCATTCAGGCGAAGAAGCAGGCGAGGGCGAGGGCCATACGAGCCAAACGCGGCTGCGGCTGGTTGGCCGAGTATTTGAGTTCCTGCTAGCGCGCAACGGCGCGATGAACCGCGAAGCGCGAAGGCGGGGGCGGCATTATAGAGGGAGAGAGACGAGACTCGGCTAGAACGGAACCGCTCACGTCGTGTCACGAGCCCACGCGCCACGGGGATCGAAGTGGCCCGAGGCCGAGGGGCAGCTGCGCCAGGGGAAACAATCTCAAAGATTCGCCCTCGAGCCCTCGCGCAGCACATAGAAGCACAATGGCAGAAAAAGCATGTATAAAGTGCAAAAGTCGGTTCCGATTCAGACACAGAGCACCAGAGCAGTCAGCACTGCACTGTGGACCGCCCGCAGGCAGAAACGCGCACATATTATGAGAGACCCGACCCCGAGATGCAAGGCGATAGAGATGAAACGGCACAGCTCGCTCAAAGCAGCACGGCAGCAATATTTCCGAGCCGGGCGCGGCGGCACTTTGACAGAGGCGGAGAGGGGGAGGGCAGAGCCGCTGCTTGGCTCGCGGGGAGGGTGCTGAGCTATGCGACCGGCAGAGCAGAGACGAGACGAGAGGACGATGCGTGGCGGCTCGGAGAGCAGAAGAAGCGAGGGCGAGACCGCGCGGGAGAAGCGACGGCTCCGTCGAGACTGGCTCAGGCGAGGGCTCCGTTGAGCGCCTGTGGCCGGCCGGCAGGGGTGGGGGTTTGGGTCCTGGGATCGGGGTTTGGGTTTGGGTGTGGGCTTTTGGTTTCTGGTGTGCATGTGCGCTTGCGTTTGGGGTTTGGGATCGGGGTTGGGGTTGGGGTTTGGGTAGGGGATCGGGGCTTGGGATCGGGGTTTGGGTCTAGGTAGGGACTGGTGCGGGTTCGGGGGCTGGGTGCAGTGCATGCACCCAGAGCCAAGAGAGGCGAGGCCCCGCCACTAAGGCCGCAGGGCGGGGAGCCGCCCTTCTCTCCATGGGAGGGGGGGGGGGGGGGGTGTGCGGCCAGATACCTGAGGGGGGGCGGGGGGGTGTCCAGCGAGATACGTGAGGGGGGGCGGGGGGGTGCAGCGAGATACGGGAGGGGGGGAGGGGGGGGGGAAGTGTCCAGGAAGTGACTAGCATGGCCCCGCCTGCGCGATCCGCTGCAGGATCGCCTTGAAGCCTGGGTCGTCGCGCGCGCCTAACACCGCACCACCCACGGAGCCCTGAGCCCACGCCGGATTCGACCCCTCTGGAGGTATGGGAGTAGGCGGGGTCGTCGTCGCGCACCGAACTTTTCCACGGCCGCCATCACCTGCTCGACAGTCAGCCGAGATGAGCCGAGGTGAGCCGAGATGTGCCGAGATGAGCCGAGATGAGCCGAGATGAGCCGAGATGAGCCGAGATGAGCCGAGATGAGCCGAGATGAGCCGATATGAGCCGAGATGAGCCGAGATGAGCCGAGACGAGCCGAGATGTGCCGAGATGAGCCGAGGTGAGCCGAGATGTGCCGAGATGAGCCGAGATGTGCCGAGATGAGCCGAGATGAGCCGAGATGAGCCGAGACGAGCCGAGACGAGCCGAGATGAGCCGAGACGAGCCGAGATGAGCCGAGATGAGCCGAGATGAGCCGAGATGAGCCGAGATGAGCCGAGATGAGCCGAGATGAGCCGAGATGAGCCGAGATGAGCCGAGACGAGCCGAGACGAGCCGTGCCGAGCCGAGATGAGCCGAGATGAGCCGAGATGAGCCGAGATCGAACCGAGATCGAGCCGAGATGTGCCGAGATGAGCCGAGATGTGCCGAGATCAGCCGCCATCACCTGCTCGTCGGTCACGCCGTACTTTGCATGCACCTGCGCGGAGATGCGGCCCTGCACCGCCGCCAGCGCACGCGGGTCGACTTGGACCTGCGTGTGGCATGAGATAGCCGAGATCTGGCCGAGATCTAGCCGAGATCAGCGCCCGCGGGTCGCTTTGACCTGCGTGCCGGACTGCCGCTGCCGCGCCGCCGCCTAGTTGAAGCGTCTCGGGAGCGTCTCGGAACTCGGAAGTATCTCAGAAGCGTCTCGGAAGTGTCTCGGAAACGTCTCGGAAACGTCTCGGAAGCGTCTCGGAAGTGTCTCGGAAGCGTCTCGGAAGTGTCTCGGAAACGTCTCGGAACTGTCTTTGCGCCTCCTTGATCGGCAGCAGCTCCTTCTCCAGAAGAACCTGCTCCCCCACACACCTCGCTCTGTGACAACAATCCCGCGCGTCTGGCGCATCTCGCATCTCGGCTGTATCTCCTCGGCTGCCCCTCGGCTGCCTCTCGGCTGCCTCTCGGCTGCCTCTCGGCTGCCTCTCGGCTGCCTCTCGGCGACATCTCGGCTATCTCTCGGCTATCTCTCGGCGACATCTCGGCGACATCTCGGCGACATCTCGGCTGCCCCTCGGCGACATCTCGGCTGCGTCTCACCGCGTTGTACGTCATCACCTCCTTGAGCCGGTCTCGAGTAAGCGACTCGGGCAGCGGCGCAACCTGGCAGGACCGCGAGAGATGGCCGGGAGATGGCCGGGAGATGGCCAAGAGATGGCCGAGGGGCAGCCGAGGGGCAGCCGAGAGAGCAGCCGAGGGGCAGCCGAGAGAGTAGCCGAGGAGACAGCCGAGAGACAGCCGAGAGACAGCCGAGGAGGCAGCCGAGGAGGCAGCCGAGAGGCAGCCGAGGTAGCCGAGAGGTAGCCGAGAGGTAGCCGAGAGGCAGCCGAGAGGCAGCCGAGAGGCAGCCGAGGAGGTAGCCGAGAGGCAGCCGAGAGGCAGCCGAGAGCGAATTCCGCGCCTCCTCTATCCGCGCCCGCCCGCTCCCCCCCTGCCCCGCGCTGCTGCGCCCGCGACCGCCGCCGCTCGCCCGCGCGCGCGCGCCGCCGCCGCCGCCGCGGCCGCCGCCGCCGCCGCCGCCGCCGTTCGCCTCTGCCGAGAGGCGCATCCCCTGGATCGCGGCCTGGACCTGCGGGCGGTGTGGTGGTGCGGTATGGTGACAGTTGGTGACAGTAGATTGATTAGTAATAGAGAGTATTAAACTATGGCATAGGACAGGACCTGAGGGCGGTATGGTGGTGCAGTATGGTGACAGTTGGTGACAGTTAGACTGATTAGTAATAGAGAGTATTGAACTATGGCATGGGACAGGACCTGAGGGCGGTATGGTGGTGCGGTATGGTGACAGTGTAGTCAGTAGATTAGTCATAGTAGAGTATCAAACTATAGCATGGTGCAGGACCTACTGCAGGCAGGCAGTATGGAACAGTGAGTGTGTGGAGTAGAGTACAGCATAGCACAGGGTCGTGTAGTGTGGGCGGACCTGCGGGTCGGCCTGGTGCAGCTTGAAGCTGGCGTCCATGGCCTGCGGTCGTCCATGCAATTCGTTGTTAAGCATGACTAGCTCGACTAGCTCGAAGCTGGCGTCCGCTGGCCTTTCAGGCAGCGGCGGGGAGCGGCCGAAGACGACAACTCACGGCGGGAGGAGCGGGCGCGTGTGGCGCTGGCGCCTGCTGCTGGCGAGGCTACGAGAGAGTGCTACCGCCGCTGGTGCTGGCGAGGGGGCTGCCAGCTGCTGCCACTGTCGCGTCGCATCTACCCGTGGCCTTTTCCGAGACGCCGTACTGTCCGCGGATGGCGCCTAGGAAAAAGAAAACAACAACGTGGAGGCTAAGGAAAAAGAAAAAACACTGCGGCGTGCTGCCGATGGATTGCGCCTAGGAAAAGAAAAACACCCGCTGAGGAAAAAGAAAAAAACGCGCGCGCGTACTGCCCGCGGATCGGCGCCGATCAGCTGCTCGAGGGAGTGCTCGAAGTTCTGCTGGAAGAGCATCGAGGCCTGCGAATCGGGAGGAGGAGGTTGTGGATGGGGAATGGTGTGAAGGGGAGAGGTGTGAAGAGGCATCAGTGTGGAGGGAAGGGGCAAATCCATTTATTAATTGAGAATTAATTGACGCCTGCTCGTCGGAGAGATTGCGCGACTGTTTGATAATAATTAATAATAATTGAGAATGATTGAGACTTATAGTTGGCGCCTGCTCGTCGGAGAGATTGCGCGACTGTATGATAATAATGAATAATCATTGAGAATGATTGAGACTTAGTTGGCGCCTGCTCGTCGGAGAGATTGCGCGACTCTTTGATAATCATGAATAATAATTGAGAATGATTGAGACTTAGTTGGCGCCTGCTCGTCGGAGAGATTGCGCGACTCTTTGATAATCATTAATAATAATTGAGAATGATTGAGACTTAGTTGGCGCCTGCTCGTCGGAGAGATTGCGCGACCGTTTGATAATAATGAATAATAATTGAGAATGATTGAGACTTAGTTTGCGCCTGCTCGTCGGAGAGATTGCGCGACTGTTTGATAATAATTAATAATAATTGAGAATGATTGAGAATTAATTGACGCCTGCTCGTCGGAGAGATTGCGCGACTGTTTGATAATCATTAATAATAATTGAGAATGATTGAGACTTAGTGGGCGCCTGCTCGTCGGAGAGATTGCGCGACTCTTTGATCTTGCCAACCTCGACGCGGATCCGCTGGATGACCGACTGGGGGCGCGGGGCGAGGGGGCGGGGGCGGGGGCGGGGGTGGGGGTTGGGGCGGCGGCGGGGGCGGGGGGGGGGGGGGGGCAATGTCTGTCTCTTTGCCACATTTGCACGCGAGGGCTGAGGGGGTGTGGGTAGGGCGGCGTCGGCGAGAAGAGAGGGGGCAGCGGAGGGCGGACGGCGAAGGCGGCAGGGAGGGGGGCGGACTCGGCGGGGCCACGCCGCGGAGGGCGGCGGAAGCGGAACAGGGGCTGCGAGCAGGCGGTGGGCGGTGGCGGGCAGGCTGTCGGCGCGCCTTGCTGTGCTCCGCCGCCTTGTGCAGGATCTGCAGCAGCAGCTCCTTGGCGATGGGCTGGTCGCGCTCCGCAGCAGCGCGCTTCTTCGCCTTCCGCCGCGCCTGCGCCACCACGCCCGGATCAGCCGCTGCGTTCGCCAAACCGCCGCCGGCGCTTGGAGGCGCGCGCGTGGCTGGCAGGCGGGCGAGGGGGGCTTGGCTCTGACGCGCCTCGTGCAGCAGCACGTACACCGTCCCCAACGTCACTACCCCGACGCCAAGAGCGAGGTTTTGGCCGAGTCCCATGCTTTGTCGCGCTACTTGCGAGAATCGCGCGCCTGAAAAAAGAATTCTTGACGCGCCTCTCAAACACACTGGCACGACAAGGGCGCGGACTGGCGCGGACTGGCACACACACAGAAAAGAATTCAAAAATCACGCGTGTGCAGAAAAGAATTTAAACACACATAGGTGCGAACTGGCGCGTGCTAGTCTCAAAAAAGAATTCAAAATGCCGCCCGTGATTGCATGCACGCTGCCCGCACTCACGGACAACAACAAATGTCTCTCTCACGGACCCCATACCCGAAAGAAAGAGAGGGGCGCTCGCGGGAGAGGTGACGAGTGAACTACAGGTCGCTCACAATCGCCAGCGCGCCGCCCTAGATGCGTGGATAGGCGTAATCGCAGTGGCACGCGTTGTCACACGCAATCCTTTCTGTTTACTTCGCTTCCTCCGCGTTCCGTCTCCTTCCCCTCGTAGCGTTGCGCCCTCGCGGTAGGCATGCCGCTCGCCGCCCGGCCGTCCCGGTCGCCCTCGACGGTGCGCAACGGCGCCGCGCCGGCGGGCCGCGACCCCGCCCCGGTTTCGAGGCGGCTCGCGATGAGCGGTGTCTCGCTTGCTGCTGGTGCGGAGGGCGAGGAGGCGTGCACGCAGCGAGTTCTCCGAACCGCACAGCCGCAGGCGCCGACGCACGCAGCCCCGCTCCCGCACGCCTCGCCGCCGCCGCATGCTCGCGAGGCACCGCTTGCTGCCACGTGGGGCGCCGAGACGCCGATGGTGGACGGCGCGTTGCCATTGCCTGGCTTGCTCGGGAGGGACCACGAGCTTGACTTCCCGCGGAAGCACGAAGGGAGCATCGCCAGGGACTACGACGCGAGGCCAGAGGGACAGGGCGATTGGCGGCTTCCTCCAGACTCCGCCGCGGCGCCCAACGACGAGGTCTCCTCACTCCTGCCGCCGCGTCCGAGGCAGTTCTCCGCCCCGCAGGGTGCGGTTGCCGGCGAGGCCGTACCTGCCACGGGCCACGGTATCGCCGGAGGGGCTTCTCCCTTTGAGTCGCTGCAAGACTACTCGCGATCAAGCTCCCCTGCTGGCCTAGCTGGCTACGGTGGCAACGGTGGCGGCGTTGCTGCAAGGCCCGTGCAGCACACGTCGCTAGGCGAGTGGGCCGCGGCTCTTGACGCCGCGGGCAGCCACGGGCAGTCTCGCGTAAGCTCTGGCAATCTTGGGGAGTGGGCCGCGGCGCTCGACTCGGGCGAAGCTCTCGGCATGCCTGTGGGCGGCAGGGCGGCGCGTGAGGTTCCGCTGACGTCTCGGCGCAGGCGAGTCGCGAGCCCTTCCGTCGCCCTCGACGAGACGCCCGTCCATTTCCACGAGCCGCGGCGGCGCGGCGCGGCGTCCGGCACGCGGAGACAGGACAGCCTCGACACGCGCTCCTCTTCCGAGAGGCTCGAGCGACTCCTCGCGACGGCAGAGCGGCGTGCTGCTGTCGAGACGGGCAGGGCGCCTTTTGGACCTCGCCGACCTCTAAGCGCTGGTCAGAGATGAGTGCTGTCTGGTGCGTGTGTGTGTGTGGTGTCTGACTGTCACTGTTCCGTGTAACCTGTTCATTCTTTGATGTGCGTGTGTGTGAGTCGCGTCAGTAACAGACAGCGGGTGTTTACACTCGACACTATCATCTATCAACATGTCGAACTTGGTTAGCCGTAACTTGCGTTTTTCAATTGTGTGACGTGTGACATACATGTGCATGCACATGCACATGCACATGCACATGTGCATGTGCGGGGTGCGGCATGGGGAGCTCGCGGGGCGGACGCAGCACCACCACCAGCGCAGGGCCAGCCTCACCCCCAGGCCCCCAGCACACCGAGCGCACGCACGCGCTCTCGGGGAGGGGCAGCGTAAATAGTGAGTACGAAATGGACAGGGCTGACACTTCTCATCAGTAAGTGAGTTAAGTGACTCCTAAGTCGATGCCACGCCCTCACTCCAGACCATGGGAACCGGCGAAGCTTCATGCGCAAGACCGCCGAAACACGTACTTTAGGGTGTGCAGAGTGTGAGGGGGCAGCAGCCGCGCTCAACCTCACGGGAAGACCCCTACGACACCTCACGGGCACGATGGAGGTGCGCCCAGCCCCGGCATTCCTTCGGGCAGCATCTCGACCTGTTCGCAACCACACGCTGTGAGGAGACTTGCCCTTGCAACTCCTCGCCGCGCGGGCTGGGCCTCCGCCTGCAGCGGCGTCAGGTCAACCTCCGGCACCTCGAGCTCCACGCCAGCCTGTTCACACCCCCACCCCAGCTGTGAACGAGGCCTCACACACCTCTGACCGTCTCACCCGCGCCCCCCCGCCCCCGCCTCCAGCTGCGCCACGGCCGCAATCGCGTCGAGCGCTATCGGGGCGGGAAAGAGCGGCGCGCCGAGAAGCGGCACCGGCAGCGCCGCCGTCGCACCCGCCGCCATCGCACCCGCTGCCGCCGCCGCCGCCGCCGCTGCTGCGAGTTGCTGTGGTTGCGGCTGCGGCGGCTGCGCAAGCGGCGGCTGCGGGGTGGGCAGCCGCTGCGGCGGCGGCGGCGGCTGGAGCTGCGGCAGCAGCGACGCCTGCAGCGGCTGCATCTGCGGTTGCTGCATCGTCTGCTGCGGCTGCGGCTGCGGCTGCTGCGGTGTCAGCGCCTGCTGTTGTGTCTGCTGCGGCTGCGGCGGCTGCGGGAGAGAGGAGGAGGAGGTGGTGGCTCCGCCGTGCGGGGGCGACATGCCGCCGATGCCGCGCCCCTTGAGCTTCAAGACGATGCCTGCGCACAAGTGTCGTCTTCTGAGGGGCTAGCCTCGCCCCGCTGCCTCGCCGTCGGAGAGGTCGTGAGGAGGCTCGCGATGCGGAAGGGCTGAGCGAACCATCTCGGCTACACGTCGGCTACGTCGGCTGCACCTCGGTCACACCTCAGTCGCATCTCGGCTACACGTCGGCTGCACTCGGTCACACCTCGGCTACAGCCACTTCTCGGCTACACATCGGCTGCACCTCGGCTGCATCTCGGCTACATCTCGGCTACACGTCGGCTGCACCTCGGCTGCATCTCGGCTACATCTCGGCTACACGTCGGCTGCACTCGGTCACACCTCGGCTACAGCCACTTCTCGGCTACACATCGGCTACACGTCGGCTACACGTCGGCTACACGTCGGCTGCACCTCGGCTGCATCTCGGCTACATCCACTTCTCGGCTACAGCCGCCGCCTTCGATGCCGGCGAGGATCAGCGAGCGCTGCTCTCGCAGCGTGGCGCGGTGCTGCGCGACGCGCTGGTTGAGCGACGCGATCTGGGGGAGGGAGGTTGCGGGGTGAGGCGGCGGCGTGGGGGAGGGCACCCCCCCCCCCCCTCCCCTGTCCCACTATCTCCGGCCGCAAGTGGACGGGCGGAGAGCAGCAGGGCGCACTCGCTGTACTACATGGTTACTGGCAGGCTGGTTCGCTGGCGGTGGGCAGCCCGCCTGCTCTTGCAGCTCCGACGGCGACACTGGCCGCGAGCTCGCCGGGTCGGACGGCGTCTGGTCCGACGGCGTCTCGACCTAAGAAAAGAAAAACACTGGGTCAGAAGAGACTGCGCGGGTCGGACGGCGTCTGGTCCGACGGCGTGTGGACCTAAGAAACAAGGAAAAGAGACGGCCGGTCAACAGAGACTGCGCGGGTCGGACGGCGTCTGGTCCGACGGCGTGTGGGACCGGCGATCGGTCAGACGGCGCGCGGTGCGTGGAGCACCTGATGAATGAATAGTCGGGCCTGATTCACTATGAATTAACTATTAATTAGGCGCGCGGTGCGTGGAGCACATCGTCGAGCAAGACGAGACGCCGGCCT